GGGGGAGTTGAAATGTTTACCTTCTAGCACGGGAGCTGGCGCACACTGTTCTTCACCCTCTTGTCTGGTTCTCTGCTCTGAAAAGGATGAAAAGACATTTCAGGTATGTCCCAGATTTGTTTTTCTGATTTTCATAGATGTGGTTTTCAACGAGAGGCTAGAACCCGTGCTGACCACATCATTCTCCGGATATTTTACTGGCTCTGGGGGATGTCTGGCAAGCACGGCCCAGTGCTGAGGAGGGAACCACGGCACTGTTGTGCTGGCCAGGAGAGGCATCAGTTTGCTGGTACTTCTTTCAGGAGACGTCAGCACTGTCAGCCTGTCTCCACCGCTGGTTCTCTACGACTTGTGTTCTCTCACAAGCTGTTGGAAAAAGTTCTTCCCAGGACTTAGGAAAGGGGGCAACCTCTTTCCCCCACTAAAAATGAATGGCTACGTTGGGCAGAAAACTAACAGAACAAGGTTTTAAACTCCATTTCGAGCAGTGCTTTCTAGCCCCTTCAGCTCTAACCGGTGTCTCACAGGCTCCAGCATGGCAGGGCTTGGGAGGACGTGGGCAGTGTTTCCCACCCTTCTGTGCATCCGGTTGCGGTAGAGCTGGAGCCGACTCAAAGGCACTAATCACAACACATGTCTTTCATGTCCCTTGTTCATTCCCAGGTCCCCATTCCCCCAGGCCCTGGCCCCCTAAGAAATGTCTGCCTTACCAGCCCTATCCCGACCATTTCCTCATGCACGACACTGCCCGCCTCCTCTTCCTAAAATACTTCTCTACATCTGATGTTGGCTTCAGGATAAAGCCCAAGACCTGGATCCCACCCTCAGACCTTTGCACACTGGTCTGTGTCTCTGCGCAGCTCTGGCCATGACTCTCTTGCTCAGACAGTATTCGATCCCATGGAAGATTCCCTCATCTTCCCAAGCCCTCCCCACTCTGCTCCTACGCCCCGCTTACTTGAAATGTCTTCTTCCCTGCTCCCTGTCAAGCAAACCCCATAGGGTCTTCCATACCCAGCCAAGATCGTGCCCCTCTAGAGAGCTTTCCCTGGCTGCTGGATCCTGAAGGGCCTTCTCCCAGCTGTGCACAGATCACTGCCTGGCACAGCAAAATCAATGGTCTCATTAGACGCAGATGGATTTCCCTGCTGTGCCAGGATTTCCTTATTAGGGCTGAGCTCACCTTGAGTTAGTCCAAGCTTGAGGCCGTCTGAAAGCATGCTAAAGGACGAGGCAGGGCAATGGACCAATCTGGGGTCCTGGACTAGTCTCAATAGAGCAGGACTGGGAAGGTCCAGGGCAAGCTGGCCTCCAGTGAGATGGGAGGACCAGAGAAAGCCACCCAGATTGGGCCAGTGGGGGCTGTTGTGGGCTGTTTCACCAGTCCTTCACCAGGGGTACTGCCACTCCCCCCAAATCTATTCAGACTAATTAGAGGGGGTTTGAGAAAAGTTCAATTCTCGAAGGTTGTAGACCCTTGGGTACCTAGGAAATCCCACCAGCACCCCTCCCGCCTTCGCCCCAGGGCCTACCACAGTTTCCTTGCCTGGTGATGCAGATGATAGGGTGCTCTGCTTCTTAAAGGCTGGTGGTTCAAATCCAACAAAGGTGCCTCGGGGTCAAGGTGCGGAGATCTGCTTTGGACTGGCCACTGCCTTGAAACCCCTGTGAAGCAGTTCTAGTCTGCACGTGGGGTCACCTTGAGTCACCATTAGCTGGACGGCACCATGTGGCTGTCATTTTTAGTCCTTGCCCTAGTGGGCTCTCCGTGCCTGGGGCCAGAGTGAACTTCTGGTGCGAGTGAGGCTCTGGCTGAGGCCCTAGCACTCACGGCGTGAGGGTGAGACTGTCAGGCAGGGACAGTGAGGGAGCTCTTACTCTGTGGCCGGCCCTGCTCTGACATACCCGATTGCCTCCGTCACCAGTGCTTTTAGTGCTCACACCCCAAAAGTGGGGTGCCTGCCTCGCCCCACTTCACAAGCAAAGAAGCTGGAGTGTCTAAAAGCGAGCTGCCCTTTCCCCAGATCACACAGTCAACGTGGGGCGGGGCCAAGGCCGGAGCTGATGCTCTTGTTTAGCCTAAGAGATGCCCCACAGCTGTTTTCATTTTGTTTTGTCTTAACTTAGGGGCAGAGCTTTGGTGGAAGCTTCTTTACTCCAGGTCACCCTATGATGGCTGGCTAGGGCACAGGGTAAAAGTCTTCACCACTTGCCTGCTGCTTCTTCCTCTTGGGGCACCCTCTGGGATCCTAGGGCCTCTCATTACCTGAAACAGGAAAATGGCAAATGTTTAATTATTCATTTCCCATCGGCCTTAATGAGGGGATTCACTGCTGGGTGAAACAAAAGGAAACAGTCTGACCTTCAGGCTGGCAGGAAGTGCTAATTAACTAACGCAGGCTCAAGGCAGTTCAGCCGCACAAACTCGCAAATGGATGGCTGGCTTTGGCTTTGAGGCTCTAGATGCAAATGAGCTAGCCGGGTCACTAATGGAACAGGGACAATGAGAAAATACGTGTGTGCTAAAAATACAGTTCCGTAATCATGTCCGCAGGTGCTCTCTGGGAATTCCCAAGGCTTCACAGCCTTGCCTGGTTCTTAGGGTTTTGCAGGTGGGTGGAGAAAGGGTTAAAATTCTGCGGTTTGTCAGGGAACTGCAGGGAGGGTGCTGTGGGCTTGGGGGAGGGAGCTGAGCTGTCTCAGCTATGGAGGAAGAGGAGGAGGAGGGGAAGGAGGGGTGGCACACAGGAGAGGCTAATTCGGAGACAGGTTCATCCCAGTTTTGTGACCAACTGGCCAGTTTTCCATTACTTGGCTGACTGGTTTGACCAAAAGTTACCGTGGGAAGGATCCGTGGCACCATTTTGTGGCATGGCTTGTACACACAGCCTTCGGCTGCAGGCCGTGGCTATTAGGATGGCCATGAATAGCTGTGAATGACTACTACTGGCAGAACAGGTGGGAGCCAGGTTCTAAGCGCTGCTGCGTGGCTGCATCTCCTCCTCGGTACTGAATGGGCGCACTGGAGAGGGGTGTTACATATATATATATGCCCAACCTATGTAAAAAGTGAGTCACTATGAACAATTCAGAGTGTCCTGGCGATTCAGGCAGTCTCTGTCTTCTGCCAAGAGGTGACACTGTGTGCTCTGCTTTCGGTTTTTAATTTTAAACTCGGTTCTTGGTTTGCTCCAGTACATTTTCGATTTTGATCACAACACTGCGTGCAGGTCAGACTGTATCTTACGCGGGCATACCAGAACACACAGGAGAGGCCTGTTAGGTAGCTACAGGCAGAATTAGGGGGTTGTCCCTCTACAAGCCTTAGCCTTCCCTTCCCCACTACAGGAAGTGGGAGGCTGCTTAAGGCTGGGGGGCATGCACACATTCAGGTCTTTGAGACAGGAAGCTGGTAAACCGGGGTGGGACTCCATGTAGGCCAGGTGAATTGAATTCAGCCAATAGGGTCGACCAGTACCATCGGCTACACCTCCCAACCGGGGCAGGGGCAGCAGCAGCAGTTTTTCTCTCTGGCCCTCTCCCAGCCGCTGCCCAGCACAGCTGGGCCAGACTCTGTCTGGCTTGTGTTCATTTACTGTAATGCCTGAAACGGCTTCTAACCTTCACAAACCAGGCTTCGGCGTGAATTTTTTCTCGGCGAAGCCAAGGACGGAAGTATGTTTCTCCCCGGAGAGAGACCTAACAGGACTAGCAGGTCTTTAAAGGGACTGGGGCTTTGCAACGCGTCCATGCCTAGAAAGTTCCCATCGCTCTCTACCATAGCAACTGTCCCCTTGGCCACCCGCTGAGCTGCTGGAGGAAACGCCCTCGGTTACTGCCTGAGTTACTACAGGCAGACGGGGCTTGTTTTCAGGCCGCTGCAGCACAGCAGAGAATATTGTAATAAGTCACAGGACTTCGGTGGTTTCCGAGAGCGTATAAAAGTTATGTTTCCCTGTAAGATGACAAGGCGGCGAAAGGGTCAGGTATCAGGCATCAAAGACCAAAAAAAAAAA